AAAGCCTTGCTCTTTCTCCAAGAACCCTTTTCAATGTATTCTTGACTGAAACCCAGAACTGATTTTTAAATTGTTGCACATGCACATGTTTATGCACCCCATGACTTAACATCAGATATTGGTTAACTTCTGTCTAGACCTCACATGTACTCCAAAAATAGTGTCCTTATTAAGTATCCGTGTAGGTTTGAAAACACCGCTCAATGAAAAGTGGATCGGTTTTTTGTTTGGTTTAGTTTTTTCTCATGATGTCTAATATGTCCAGATATGGTTTGAACACATGCGTATGCACTCATATCATTCTTGGCAAACCTTATCATGATGTAATTAACTTTCTTGATTTTGTTTCTCCTTTCAACATCTGCCAGAAGAATTCTCAATCATTAATAAATGAGTACAATCAGCATGATGACAGAAGAGCAAGATGAAACAGGCCAAATGTTTTACAGAATGTCAAATGTGTAAGTTTCTTCTCAGATTATATGCTGTAACTAGTAGACACAACATGAGTTGGCTACATTTTGTTCTGCACAAACTGACAGGTTGTGTAGCAATAATGCAATATTCCCATACTTTCCCGCAGCCAGTTTTTGCGTAGCCTCTATTTTTAGTCATGGAAAGCCAAATGTTTTGACAGCAAAAGCAACTCTGGAGTCCACATTGTTTACAATTAATCAATGGTTTCCATCTGTAACCTTTGTAAAAAGTCAGCCAATCATTTTTTGAAAATGAAATCCTAAGGTAATGTTCCCATCATCCACAAAGAATTTGACTTTCTAATATTTCAGTAGATTCAAAGTATATCCGGAAGAAACACACCTGTACCTCTATCAATATCATAAGCAGGCCATTACCGGTGTCTCCCCGATAAGCGGGACAACAAAAAGATTTCAATCTTGATACAAAACACAAAATGGCAACATCTGAAAAGCTTAAGCTATTTTAATTGCCCAATTAAGGGGATGAAACTACCAGATTAAGAGGGGGCTGCTGGGCCATTCTTTTGTTGGGGGGAGGAGGATTCAAGGACAGTGATCAAAACTCATAAAAAACTGAATGAGTAAAATTTGCCCCATGGTCTATAAGCCTACACTGGGAAAATCTTTCTGAGCATGTTTCAAGGCAACATACATGTACATGCATTAACCACACATGTACACGTGTTCCATAATAATCCACATTCAAGTTGAGCAGTATTGGATGGATTTGGGACTGCTGTGCGCTGCTGGTAATTTTGATTTGATTAAAAACATGAGAATGTGCAATACACAGTTTTCTTCCTCAGCAAAATCTACAAACTTTCCAAACTTATTACAAAATTTTTGCATGTAGTTTTTCCATGTACATGTTATTGCCGTGCGGGCAAAAGTTTGCTCAGGATATCAATTCACTTGATTCAATTTCATCCTCACAGCTGACTGGGGTTACATCGGTTCAGATAGCAACTCCCACATTCTGGGGGAACTTTGCCAAATTCATTTTTATTCTTCTGTAACTCTCATTCTGGTCACTCTTGCTTCCACTCCAAAACAGGGTTTTTTTCAAGCTTGATCCTCCCTGTGGTATAATACCACCAACCTTGAACCCCTTCTCCAAGTAGAGAATCCATGCAAACACTGTAGTTTTTGTTTTATCCATAATTGGCAAATCTGCCATCCTCCATCAGGATTCCAATTTGACATGTCTGGTTATACAAATGTTCAATGCCAGTGACGTATGAGGGAAGTCTTTCATTACCTCACCATATGTTTTTCTCAAAGCAATCCAACCTAAATAAATAGGACAACTGACAAAAATTATGTTGTCAAAAACATGTAGGCTTGCCAATTCTTTTCTTTCTCTCTCTCTCTCTCTTGACATGACTGCGCTCCACTCCTTGGCATTGCTGCATCACTTTGATCACAGACAGACCGCCCAGCTGTGGCCTGACCCCACGCAGGTCACAACTTGACCTCTGGGGGTCCCCGGAATGCACAAATGAATTCAGCAGGGATCTAATTGTCGCTCGCTGATGGACAGAATGACTTGCTCCTGGTGTGCAGAATTCGTGGCTCTGCCCAAGATGCTGAAATGTACTGGTAGGCTGCGGTATGAGGCGGTAACTTAAGGGAGGGGCTGGCTGTGGGTGTGCAGTGCAGTCAACTTGATTAGGTGATAAGTATAGTTGATGAAAGAGAAGTTGAAGAAGCACAAAATGGCACAAAACAATGCCTTTCTGAATATGACTTATTCTTGACTCTCTTGTGAAAAAAATGATTCATAAATGAATTGACATTCTTTCAGTTTTAAACCAACTTATTTGTCTGACACTTGCAAAATAAAAGAGCTTAAAAGATTTTTGTGTCCTACATTTTTATCGACATCATCGGGTTAAATTATCTCGATTCTGTACCATAAAATGTAGCAGGAATTTCTCAATCATTTGTTTCAGTTAAAGTCTTTGCGACATAAAAGGTCTCTTTTTGATCTTTGTGTAGGCCTATAATATGGTAAATAAAGAACAATTCTCTCTTCAAGGAAAGAAAAAAACGTGGCAGCTCAAACAAATTGCTGTGAAAAAAAATCAAGGCAGAGCAAGTCCCTTGTCTTTGAGACAGGTGCGTGGTGAACAGTTGGCATTCATAGGGTCCCAAAACACACAGTAAGTAGTCACCTGTGCTAACAGAATGAGAGTCCTAACTGCACCAATTACGCACACAGCCTCTGTATTATTGTTGCTGGCAAAGGCATGTACATGTACACAAGGTCCCTCAAGTATAAACCATGCTTGCTTCAACCCAAATGCTATCCTGTGCTGTAATAGCACATCTTTGGGGAAAAAAAGGACATGTGTTGAGGTGTCTTAATGCACTCATATACGCATATCAGGTAGCATACCAATAACAATGCAGTGAGCTTCCTCCTTTATGAAAAAAAATGAAAGAGGAAAAACCGGGGAAACTTCAGGTTTGGAAAGAACAGACTCAAAGAGAGCAGGGTAAGGTTTCAAGCCTGGCAGTGGATTAGATCTGTGGTCTTTTCAATTTGCCATGGTGGAAGCTTTTAACTGGGAAAACACGGCCTGACAAAGGGGACCGGGGCCTAGCAGGGGAGAAAAGGGCTTTCAAGGGCTTCAACACCCGAGCTGTGAAAGGAGAGAGGGGTCGGTGGGATATAAGAAGCTGCTCGAATCTCTTGAGACAGACGGAAACTCCTGTGAGAGAAACGGAGGGCTGGGGCTTGGATAGTTTTCATGATCACAGTAAAAAAAAACAGGCTGTAAATATTAAGATGAGAATTATTCTTTACGAGAGTAATGGGAAGATTAATCTGTTAAAAGGAGAGTCCTGCAATGAAATCCTTATTGTGTAGGGATTTTAGTATCTTTTAAGTCACTTCAGCTTCAAAGACTGATCAATGAAGATATATTCAGTCAGTTCTGAATAATATTTCTTTAATAAAGATACAGCAACTTTGCTAAGACCCTTCTCACATCAATTCTAAAAGCAGTCTATATGTATGAAATTCAACACACTAAAATGCATAATGAACACTCATGGGTACGGTATACATTTTCTTCAGGGCTTCATCACATCTTGGATGTTTCAGAAGTGTACATACAGGTATGAAATAAAATGTCACGAGTTTGACGTGGTGCGCCAAACAACTGTCTAGTTTTTCACAGGGTTGTGGTATGGTTTTTATACATCAGTCTGGGAGTATTATCGCATTTGGATGGCCTGTTACATCATAAATCTTGTGCAATCTGACCAATCGCAAGGCTTGTTCTAGCAGCCTGCAATGGATTGTCTGGGTGTTTCCATGTTACGGGGTGCTTTTCACGTTGCAACATATGGAACAAAAATACTAACCAAAAATTTCAATTGCAACAATTTGATTGGCTATGCAAAAAACCTGACTACAGACAAACATGTAAACTCGAAGTTCTAAACACGTTTGTACCAATGGGATTTAAAATTCATTGTTGCCAACTCAACATATTTAAAGTTGAATTTGGACAAAAATTGCTGTATCATTACAAAAAGTCACTATGTCCATATGTGGTAATATATGTATCCATTGAGAGGAAGGAAATAAATGTAACTGCTTGTACTGTACAGATTTTTTTGGCAATAAATCTTTGGTCCAAAATCCAGTCACACTCTGAGTGGAGCAAGATACCATATTATTCATGTATGAGGCCTACTTCTTCGTGGCATTCGTTCCAACATTACATTAATTTTAATGTACGACACAGAAAGGTGCACCTATTTTCACGCAATCATCTGAGTAGATTTGGTTTTTGAGGCTAGCCTGCCATAGAAGTTTTAACAATGAGTATTCTTGTTTACCATTTTTTGGTGTCTTTACCTGGCCAGATACGGTACTTTGTGTACATGTATATTATTTCAAGATACATTATTTCTATCTTCGAAAAACCTTGAGTACACAGGCCCCGAACATGGAGAAAAATCTTTTGATCAATTTCTCCAAATAACTCAATAGTGAGTTTAGGCAGAAGTGTAATTCAGCCCTAATTTCGTTACAGAGTTCTTCGTACTAAAAGCACTCTTGTGGAAGCTTCCCTTTTCATTACTTTGCATTTCTGAGCACATGTACCCCCGTTTCTTTTCAGTTTTATTTGATTAGTTAAAAATTCATTACTTGCATTGGGTTCCTGTGCTTTTTTGTACTGTTTTGATTTGGTGAGGGTTCTAGTGGCATTGAGAAGATTTGTTTTTCTTTTTTTGAGAAGCCAGGACACAATAACAGAAGAACAGAATCTTGTGGTAGAAAGGAATTGAAATTTGCCATCCATGCTGTCATTAATTTTGCAGAGGAATGCTCATGAGGGATTTAAGTGTCTGTGGGTGATCCCTCAATACATGGAAATGGGAAGTCTGAGAAAAAGAAATTACAAGCTACACAGCATAAAAAAAGAAACCCCCCCAAACAAAAACACTGAAAGCCTGTCCTCCCATTTCCTTGTTTGATGTGTAAATATTTATGACTAATCTCACCAGTGTCATCGGGCAGTTGTTACGCAAGTTGGATAAATGTTGTCTCCTCCCTGCTGCCGATGCTTCTAAGGCCATCTGTGAATAAATCAACAAAGTATTTGTGGTGAACTGTTTGAACTAATTAACAGTTGTTGACAAAACAGTGATGAAAAAAAAATTATGCCAATGAGTTCCATTTGGCATAATTTTTGGTCAAATATTTTGTTTGATGTTACAGGTAAGCACGTCCATCTTTTGTTTGGAGTAAGTTGAGTACAGTGTAGTGGCATTCTGGCAAATTAGGATTTAACTGCTAATCAATATTACAGCTGGAGCACTCTACACCATCATAGATCTTGGCAGACTCGTTTTTTTCTCGTCTGTAATGATTACGTTTCATACAATGCGAGTATATCTGTATTCAATGTTTAAATTGCCAATGAAATTGAATAGCATAACCACAGGCATAAGTACCAAAACAGACCATGGTTATTTATTTCATACAATTAACCGCTGAGTATGGATGTTACCGCTGCCAATAATGCATTTTACTAATGAACACGACGTCGAGCTTTTCATCCTATCTAATTGAGGAAATCAAATTTTTTTTTCTCCAGGCTACAAAAAAAGGAAGACACAACCAACGAATGTACTGAAAAATTTCCTGTTGTTTCTCATTAGTCGCCTCACAGCCTCAGGGATGAACAGGTTTGAAAGACGAGTCTTTTGTGATAAAAATAATGTGTATGCACCGTGTACCGGTATATAGTCTTCAAAAGTACAGGTGCGGCAATCAAAATTGGTTTGATATCCTCGTTATGTTCTGAATGGAGAAGACTGAATGGAAGTTAAAGGCGATTCAAGCAAGCAATAATTTTCATCACCAGTTCCATTTTACCTTATTTTGACACCATTCTTTACCAATACAATTGTCAGTTCTACTTGCATGCATTCACGTATCAAATTTTCTTCACCAGTTCCATTTTACCTTATTTTAATACCATTCTTTACCAATACAATTGTCAGTTCTATTTGCATGCATTCACGTATCAAAAGGAATAAACTTCTTTCCCCTCCTCTCCTCCACCTCCTAATTTTTTCCCCCTCGAGGATGCCGACAACAAAATGATCATTGGACACGGACAAAGGGTAAAAAAAGCCGCCCACAAGCAAATTTTTACACGACGTTATTATACACCTGACTGGATTAATTTTGACGAGGGTGAGGACCCACAGGATGGGGGGAAGACTATCTGAAATCCACTGGTGTAATTTTTTTTTTTTTTTCATTAAGGGTTGGAGGGACAAAAATCGATGGGCTGCACAAGAGGACAAGGGTATAAGCCAGGAGGTAATTCAGTGTCTGTGTGTAGATAGCGGACTATTACGCTTTTCAGACAGCCAAACCCTGCTGGGGCAATCAATGGACCGGCCTGTTGTCACTGCCTCTTTTATTGGCAGAGTTAACCTATTGCTCTGTGCTTTAATAACGTGTGGATCATTTAGACTATGACCATTTTTTCAGTAAGTTTGTACTTCAATTAATCAAGAACTTTAAATGCCCAAGAATAATAGAAATATTTTTGAAGTACATGTACGAGCCGAACACATAACACACTACTTTAAGAATGGAGTCAGGAATTTAACATTTCTACATTTCAAGTAAGCATTGTCAATGGTAACCTTAACAACTAAAGTGTACGTGCACGTAGTAAAAACCCTCCTACGCAGAGATCCACTCTGCACCAAGTTGTCCCATCAGTCAAAAGCAGTCAAGTGACATATGATATTTCTATGTACTGTAGAGCAAGAATTGGAAGGAACTTTTACTACGTGTACATGGAGCTGTGACTGCGATAGCTGAAGGAGGGTTCTTTTGTACTTTACCTGATGTGTTAATCAAACAACACATAAAAATTAGATTGGAATTTGTAGACCCGTTTTCAAAAGAAGCTCCCTGACATTACCATTAGGATTAGGAAAAGCATTAGCTTTTGATGAAGCATCTTTGTAAAACAAAATGCAAATCAAGTCTCTAAACAGACCCCTGGATTTCTTAGAACATCTAACAACTTTGTTTTGCAGAACTTGGAGGGTTCAGTATGCTTCTTCACTGAATAAATATTCCGTCATTAACATGTACTAAGATGCAAGACTTGTGTTTGATGAATTCCAATGATGCCTTTCTAAGCTTCCCATACAACCCACTCACAAAGAATTTAAAAAGCATCTGGATAGTGAAACAGACAGACAAAAATCTTGAGAGTTCACTTAACAGTAGCTTGTCAGCATTTTGAGCAAAGCAGACAGTGCACTCAAGAAAAAAAAAGGTCACGAACAAACAAAAAAGAGGCGGCACCTCAAAAGAGGGTCAGGCATACACACACACTTTGAAAACCAAACCCCAGCAATAAACACCGTGGGTTTGGGAGTGCGCCACTGAATGGATGGGAAAACAGACCCCAGCATCACGCTGGGCATTCTTGGGCTCTCCACTGCGCTTGTGTACATGGTGTGTGGTGTTTACCCAAGAACCTGGCTGGTTTTTTCTTTCCACGGGATTGTTGATTTAGGGCTTAGGATCTCAAGCAGGCTGGTGCCCACACAACATTTTTAAGGTGGATTGTGTTGAGGGTGTTTGTTTCTCTGGCAAAGGGTTTGTGTTGTTGGGCTTCAGTCGATTTGGGATTTTCAATGCGTTGTGCTATTCTCCGCCGTGTACACCCCGCGCAGTAATGGCCTGAGAGTATGTGGAAATTTTCAAACTTGAAAACTTGGGGAAAAAAAACAAAAGTGAAACCAGATAAAAAGTGAAACAGGCTTTGGCATCTGTCATATCCAGGCACAGGCTACATATATGTCACTCAAAACCAGAAAGTACACATATGTCTATGCTTACGACATCTAGTTGCTACCATCGTTTGGCTTTGCCAAGATCACTGTCTAAGACAATGTTAAATCAAATACAAATCATGATAATCAAATGCTTTGAGTTTCAATAGTACATGTATAAACACTTATTGCACTTTGCCTCGCAAGGGCCCGTTTGTCAGACTTCAGGAGAACCAGCCAGATATTATGGTACACGTAAATAACAGGGATACATAAAACAGTACATGAGACAGAATCTCAATGATTCTAGGGTGGGCAATAAGGGGGCAAGACTTCAATGCATATATGTATACTTGTAGGCCTATATCAAAGAGATTCTAATTGTCAAAGTTACCTCCTCCAAATTGACAAGATGTTGTCTTTCATTTTGTGTCCAAATCAAAATGGACGGTGACGTTGACTGAATCGATCGGCACAGACAAGAAGTATGGTACATTTACATTCCAAAGAAGTCTGCTCATAGTACATCAGTTTAACAGATTTTATGTTTGATTTTTCCAGTATAGGTAAAATAATGCCTGCCAAGAAAAGAAAAATGCCCCCCTTGTCAAAATATTGAAGGCCCTGGGCCAAAACCAACAGTAGCTGTGACCCCTAACAATAAGGGGCCCCATTTAGCAATTACAATAGGTTAGACAAATAAACCCAGTCCTGCAGCAGGCCTCATGCAGGCGTGGCTCGATTATCAGTTGGCTGCACAGACCATCCCTTTTATCACCACTCCACTGGTGTAATCACTTACATTTCCTGCCTACAAAGAAGTGATATATATCATCCAAGGAGTGGATTATAAATCTGACACAGGCAGGATATAATCATGCAAAGCCAGATGTCCATTTATTCAGTTGAAAGAAACAGGTCGAGTGGAACAGGTTGGAAAAGTATCGTCTCCATTCTGCCCAGATTGGCAGTTCATACTGAATTTAAGGTTTGAGTAGAACATCGCTAATAAATTGAAAGTCTGAAACTTAACCATTACTATTTTCTAAAGGATCAATCATATCTATTATGGTTTGATTTAAAGTAAAAAGGTATCACAAATGAAAACTAAGTCAAGCATGAACTTTTCTGTCCCCTTTCTATAGGAACAGTTCACCACACTGTCACTTCCTCAAGACACAAACTATTCACTTGCTCTAGAACTACATCAGCCCATGACAATTATGCAGATTGCAACTGCCACAATGTGAAACTCGTCAGGTTTGAAAATTCGCATTTGACGCAAAAAGAGCTTTGAACCCTGCCAGGCATTCATCATTCCCAGTAATCGTCCCACCGTGAAATTGAGATTAAACTCATTCATGTTTGAAAGTCCCATCCCTACACAATTCCAGATCACTTTCGCCCGAATTGTCTTTGAGCACAGCCGGGTTTCTTGGTCTAAAAATCAGACAAAAACCAGGGATCGCCAGTGCCGATGGAGCGAACTGTTAGCAGCCTGACAAGAAACTCAATTTGTAACACATGCTCCCTGCTGCTGAAATTACTTTTTCATTATTGCGCGCCATCTGTCATTTGTCTAGGCAGGATGCTGAGATATATGAGAAACAAGAAAAAAATTACCCCGAGTTAGTCGCATCATTCAGGCCGTATAAATTACTTGGCTTGGCTTGGACCTATAGAGCAGCTCAATCTCAAACCAGTTTGTCGTTGCCAAGTGTAATTACGCAGTGTGCTGGCGTAGAGTAGAAAGGAGTAGGAAAAGGAGATCTGTGCCTCTCTTGTCAAGTTGTCGGCCCCCTCTGTCCTCTCAGCCTAACCTGTCAATCACAAGCAATCTTACTGATCACGTGGATTACAATGCAAGCAAAACTTTTTCAGCTTCTGCTCCATTTCATACCGTCTCTCTCTCCCCATCTACCCTTCCCTCTCCCTCACGATTACTCGTGCTGTCTGTTCTTTGCCTACGCTGATTATATAGGTCTCCAGCCTTGGAACACGGAGTCTGATCCCGCTTCTCTGTCGTCCATCGTCAGGGGATTTCTCCAGCTCTTTTTGTCGGCACAGGACAAAAGCTGGTTAGCGGGACTGGGGCCTTGCGCACAAAGGCAGAGTGTTATCAGAGGATGTGGCCTGGGGCTTGCTTCTTTTTGCAGGCTGTGCCTGGCCTGGCTGGCCCTTTTGTGCATGCAATGATTGATGGATGTCACAACCACGCTGTAGATTTCTCCATGGAATCGATTTGATTTTTTCTCTGATATCTC